CACGCACGCACACACACACACACACACACACACACACACACACACACACACACACACAGAGGGACACACACACACACATGCACGCACGCACGCACGCACGCACGCAAGCACGCATGCACGCGCCCGTGCGCATGCACATGCACACGCACGCACACGCACATGCACACGCATGCACGCACGCACCGAGACGGGCGTGGTACGCACACGCACGTATATACACAAACACACACACGCACACGAACGCACACGCACACGAACGCACACGCACCTTCACCTGTTCACCTGTTACATCCTATTTTTTTCCAGACGGTAAAAAAATATTATCCATTATATGCAACCATTACTGAAATTCTATCAACCATGTCCATAATGTATTATATTATTTTAAGAGTCAGGCTCTTGATTTGGTTAAATAACATAGTCTGATTAAATGTTACCGTTTGTTACAAAAAAAAAGAAGTTTAAAATTTATTTATATATGAAAGGCACTATTCATTCATTTCTTATCCATTCTTTTTTCATTCATTCATTACAGCCTCCAGGCCACCCCTTGTATTGTCTCATAAGGGCGATATTTGTCATAGTAAACCACGCTTGGCACGCAGGTTGGCAACCGCGGATTTTTATTTTTTAGTTGTTAGCAATACGATGCTGCCCGTCTTCTGGTTAGTTTTCCCTTTGGCGCTTTTACGACACCCACGGGACGATATGGGGTAGTGGATATTCTTATACGGTTAATATTATATATGTAGTATTTACATACATATTTACTACAAAAAATAAGCACATATTTTATCTACATATTTAAGTATCCGTAGGGCACACATGCACACTCACACACAGATACGAGCTCAAATACGCACATACATACACTCATTCACACACCACGTGCACATATACATGTACACACACGTACACACACACACACATGTACAGACGCACACAAACATATATACACACTCACGCACATTTATATACTAACACACATGCTTACATGAAAATAGTTCATCGCCATTAGAGCCGCAATTTAAATTTAAATTAAATCAAAAATGTTAAATTATAATATAAAAAAATGTTAACCATCTTAACCTTTTAGATATAATTAATATATCTACCTAGTTTATCGTATTTAGCCAACCGTAAGGGAAGTAGCGAGTTATTCCCAACACAAGTGTCTATGACCACTTAAAGGGAAGTCTCGACAAATCTTTGTAATAGGATTTTTGGAAATAAAGGAAATTTTATTAAAAAAAAAAGTGTCTGTATGCACAAACATATACATATATTAACGTTGTTCATGTAGTTTAAATAATTAATTACAGCCTTTAAAAATCCACGGCTGAACATAGGCCTTTATCATATTATATTGCTCATAGAGTGAATAAACTAGCTAATCATCTGATCATCAGTTCACTGTAAATTTCACAGTACACGAGCAATCCGGGTTCGATCCCCGCCGGCATCAATGAAATTGTTAATTACAATTTTAAGCGCTGATTTACGACGTACTCGGAGGTAAAAGAAAATATCGTGGAGAAACCTGCATGTCTGAGAAATTAATATAATTATTTCGATGACATGTGAAGTTCGCGGCGAACATTTCCTTGCCTTAAAATCCCTTATAGAAATGAGATGAGGACTGTGCCCAGCAGTTGGACGTATATAACCTGTAACATATAAAGTAAAACACTCACGCCTGTCACCCAGAGGGGTAGGCAGAGACTACAGACTTCCATTTGGCACGATCCTGACACACCTCTCTTGCCTCCTTCACATCCATACACCTACGCATACATGCTCGTCGGTTAAGGGTACTCCTAATTTGGCCCGTTTTCAATAAATCGCCAATTTGGTCGATAAATTTTCGCCTAGGACGTCCCTTTCCGACTCTGCCATTCACTTCTGCACCATAAATTTTCTTTGTCACTCTTTCCTCATTCATTCTTTCCACATGACCAAACCACCGAAGCATTCCTTTCTTAATCCTGGTCACAACATCATCTTGCAAACCACACTCTTCACTTATTACACAATTTCTTACCCTGTCATTCAGATTCAGCCCTAACATACTCCTTAACGACCGCATTTCTACTGCGTTTATTCTACTTCTACTACTTCTTCTGCCACACCCAACTTTCACTACCATACGTTAAAGTAGGGACCAACACAGCATTTTAAATTGCCATACGTGCCTTTTTCGACACATTTTGACTCTTCACAATAGAGTGCAAGGCCCCATTTACTCTATTTCCCGCATTCACTCGTCGTTCTATATCCTTATCATATCTCCCATCCCTGCTAAATACGCAGCCCAAATATATAAACTCATCTACTTGCTCGATCAACTCCCCTTCTATTCTTATTTCACAAATCGTTTTACTTTCTTCTCTTTCAAAAACCATAACCTTCGTCTTACTTGCGTTCACTTTCATACCCCTTTCCTTTAATGATCCGTTCACTAATGTAACCATCATTTGCAACTCGGCCGCCGACGACGCAAGAATAACTTGAAAATCGGCGTACAAAAGGCATTTGACGGTTAACTCACCCATTCTTAATCCGCATTCTTCAACTTTCAAATTTTGCAAACAACTGTCCATAAATAGGTTGAACAGCCACGGAGAAGCCACACAGCCCTGTCTGATACCTTTATGGATGTCAAACCAGTCCGAGTAGACCCCGTTGATCCTAACACAAGCACTAGAGTCCCTATAAAGAGACTCCAATGCCTGTATCAAGCCAGCGCTCAACCCAAATGAGTTCAGTGTTTGCCATAGCAAATCCCTATCCACTCTGTCATAGGCCTTTTCCAAGTCCATGAACGCACAAAAAACCTTTTGGTTTTTGGCCAGAAACTTCTCCGTGATCATGCGCATGGAAAAGACTTGATCTGTACATCCCATTCCCTTTCTAAATCCCGCTTGCACTTCCCAAATTTTTCCATCAGTTTCTTTCATGACCCTTTCAATCAGTACCTTAGCATATAGTTTTCCCACAATGCTAAGAAGGCTGATGCCACGGTAGCAGGTAGTTTACAGTCCTGCTGCGACCCTCTTCCTTTATATACTGGGACTATCACGGCTTTGCACCAGTCTACCGGTACCCGCTTCAGTTCCCAGCATAAATTAAACGAGGTGCGCAGCGGGCCTGCCACCACTTCCTCTCCAGCCCTTAGCATTTCGAGTGAAACTCTATCATATCCGGCAGCCTTACCTGCTTTCATGCTTTTCATTGCTTTCATCTATACTTATCTCGCTACCTCTTTCCTCTTCTTTCGGTGTTTCTACTTCACTTAGTACACACGTTGTCTCCTCACTCATAAACACGCTTTCAAAATATTCCTTCCATCTCTTTAAACTCAAAACTTCATCATTCAGAATATAGCCATTCTCGTCTCTTATAGCATTCATCATAGGCTGTTTTGAATGTCCCCTGGCAGTTCTTACAAGTTTCCAGAACATTTTAATATTTGCCTGGAAGTTATCCGATATTCTTCTCTCATTCTTATCCGTTCTTTCTTGCTTTTTTCATTCAACTACTTCTTTTACTCTCTTATTAAGATGTCTAAACATTGCCTTTTTTCTTTCAATATCACCTAACCTGTAACGTTAACTTTATAGAGGGAATATTTGCCATAGTTGCCTCGCTTGGTAGTTTTTTTTATTATTTTTACTTATTATCGGATAGAGAGAAAGATGCTGTAACTCATGTCCTTCTTCATTGGTCTCTGTCGCCTCTTATCGCATCCACTGGATGATATGAGGTTGTGCATTCTCTTACACCGCCACTATACGCCCCATTCTAGTATGGGTGTGTAAACAAGATCAACCATACCATTGATGAAGTAAAAAATAAAAATAAATAACAATAAAGAAGAACCAGACGTTTCGCACCGACGTAATGTCTCTTCTTATTTATTGTTCTTTATTTTTATTTTTTACTACTGGGATCAAGTCAGTTCACCTGCAATTGGAGATGGCCATGTCCAGCATGAAGTTTTACGGGCTAATAAAGCAGAAGAATGGTATACCTCAGTAGCTTTAGAGTAAATAAACTCTGAAGTTACTGAGGTTAGCCTACCCTACAAAGCTAGCTATTAAACGACATCAGCAGCAGCTGGGAATATGATAGGATGACTACAAAATATACCGGATGACCTTTTTTTACCGTTTGAAAAAAAATAGGGTGTAACATGTGAACGGAGTAAAAGCCTATGGCACTAATATTTTACAAAAAAATTAAAACAAAAATTTTGAATTAAACGTTTGAAAAAATTTTTTTTGAACAACTTTTTTTTATAGGATAGGGTGACAAATGAGCACACTGTCCACCTGATGGTAAGTGGTTGCTGTGGCCCATAGACATCTGCGTCTATCTTCGATTACGATTCAAAATGCAGATGCATTGTCAGCCGTGAGGACTAAGATGGAATGCCTCGTTTCCAGTAAAAAAAGGTCTGCCCTTTGACCTTGAACCTGTGACCCTGTGAAGTGACAAGGTCAAAGTTATCCTACAAATTTTTGTGTTATTGCGGTTCGTAAAGTAGGTAGATATGATTTGAATTTCGGTAGATTTTAATTAATTTATTTATTTAATTAAAAATTTTTGTTTTTATTTAATGTAAAATAGCAGTGCCATAGGCTTCTATACCGTTCACATGTTACATCCTATTTTTCTCCAGACGATAAAAAAGGTCATCCAGTATAGTTATAATGTCCTACTACCTTAGTATAAGACTCTTGTAGCGTGTTGTGTTGAAAATTTTGGCGTCCTATATTTTATATTATCAAGATTAGAAACTAATGATCGTAAAGTTTCTTGCATTCGTTTGAGATCTTTCGAATGTCGCGTTATAATTCTAGCATTTTAGTTGACTTTTACGATGCCGATAAAATAAAATTTGTTAAAAAAGATAACGATATCTTATATATTTTATAAGTACTTCCTCTATTGATAACAATTGCAACTAAAACTAAATTTTGCTTGTGTCCTTGATGCAGTTTCAACGAGTAGCGACAGCGTAGGCGATGCCCTTCAAGTTTGTCACACTGCGGCTAAAGAGCTCCGAGCAAACGCCACTGATTTGAACGCTAGACTAATAAGGTTGGAACGCGAACACATGGAATTGGTAAAGAGAATGGAGCAGACTGCTGGCGAGTTAGCAGCAGTCTCCGACCAACTGTCGGCCGCGCCAAAGTTAGCGGACACGCCTCGGCGTTTAGCTGAGCTGCAACGCACTGTTGCTGACTTTGGTTCACAGGTAAGATATAATTTTACTAAGTTTAGAGTTTAAAACAAGTCAAAGGAAATTCTTCTTCTGTTGCGGATTTGTATGCAGCTTTAAAACGCGTAGCAGCGTCAATCACGGTCTCAAGTAGTTTACGTAATCGCCACGTTTGATCCGGATTAGTCCTCAGGGATTGTATCTGCATTTTTGGTCCTTAATCGAGTGTAGATGTAGGTCTCGATGGGCCACAGCATCCATTTGTTTGCTGTTGGACATCTGAGCGCTGCTTTCTGCGGGCGGCTGCGAAATATTTATCGTAGTATATCTTGAAATTATATGGCACCTGCTATATCTATGTGTATGTGAGTGAGTGAATCTAACGACTTATATTTACGCGGCGGTATACGCCAAGGAATCAGAAAATCTGAAAAACAAAACTATCCCCCAAGCCGATTGGTCATCGTATTGAAAAATGATCGCGACCCTCTAAGCTAAAAAAAACGAAGAAACAAGCAAATCAAACAGAAAAATATCGGACATGTACACAGCGACCCTGAACACGCAATCACTACGAACACCTGAAAGACTGATGAAGCTGAACTAGCTAGACAATATTAAAAACTGATAAATTTTAGTAAGATTATAATCAGCCATACAAGATTCATATAAAACTCCTTTTGTAATGAGAGATTTTAATGGTCTAATAGAAGTATGTAGCAAAGATGAAGAATATACAATAGGAGAGCGTGAATATGGCCAAAGTAAAAATGGAAAAAGATTTGTCATTTCTGCACTAGAAAACAAACTGAGCATTTTAAATAGTTTCTATAAGAAAAAGAAGTCGAGAAAATGGACATGGATGTCTCCATGTGAAATCGATTTTATCCTGACCAACAACCGAAAGCTGTTTATTAATATATGTAATGTTAACCAGCTTAACTTCCATACAGACCATAGAATGATAGGAACATCATTATCAGGAAAGCAGGTACAAAAAAGGAGATATTTTCATAATAATAAATACAAAACCATTCTCATATCTACTGGAAATAAAAATATACTCCTCGATAGCCTAAACACTGCAATGAACAGAAATACAGAATTAAACTATAAACCAATTCAGGAGCGATATGACAACATGACATTACATATTTGAAGTCAGTGAAACAAACAAATAAACTGAAAAAATATTATTCTTCGAAACTAAATAATTCATTAATACTCTCATTAATCAATTATTTAGCTTTTTTTCTATGTATAGGTAAACAAACTTCTACATAAAAACAATACGTTATTAGATAGCCAAACTAAGCAAAAAGATAAACGAACACATAAGAAAACACAAGAAAAAAAAGGCAGAAAACTATAAAAAATTTATTTAAAAAATTAAAGAAATAAAAGCATTAAAAAATTAAACCAAAAGAAAATCTGGATCCACGGTGTCACTTATAGTGAGTGTAGAGAACCGGAGACCCTTTTACTGGAAACGAGGCATTCCATCTTAGTCCTCGGGGGTGACAACGCATCTGCATTTTGATTCTTTAGAGGATAAATATAGATGTCTATGGGCTACAGTATCCACTTACCATTAGATGGACTGTGTGCTCGTTTGTCATCCTATACTATAAAAAAATGCCAAACATGAAAACCCAAAATGGAAGTTCTAAAAGTAAAAAGCAAGAAATACTCAAAATCGCCACAGAATACTATAGAATACTGTACTAAAAACAAACGACACCCTTAGTAGAGAAACAAAAACAAATAACGACAGACTTGCAATCAGTACTAACAATACAACAGGAAAAAATATAAGAGCCATCAACACAGTAACTGGACAAAGCGCCGGGTTCAGGTCAAATAACTAACGAGCTATTAAAATGTACCATACCGGTACTTTCTCCTAGACTAACAGAACTATTCAACGACATCTTATCAACCGAAAGTATTCGTAACGATTGGAAAAAAATCTACTGAAGTATTGATACATAAAAAAGGGAGCAAAGGAGATATGAATAATTACAGACCAATAAGTCTAACGTCAAATATATATAAGATATTCTCAAAAATAACACTATCATGAATATCTGCTGAAGGCTGTCACGAACCATGAAAACCAACGCAAAGCACAGACTGGGTTCCGAAGTAAGTATTCCACGATAGACCACATTCACGTATTAAGACAGGTGCTTCAAAAGTATGAAAATACAACAAAGTTTATTACTTTGGGTTCGTGGATTTTAATAAAGCATTTGATTCCTTAGACCACGTAAGCATCTGAAGAACAAAAGAATGAACAATAGAATCAAACAATAGAGTGTAGAGTTGAAACCAAATACATTCGAATACTCAAGAACACCCACTCAAAGAGTACGGCCCAAGTCAAGCTGGAAAAACAGGCGACCAACACGGCGACCCCATTGCATCGAAGCTATTCTCTGCGGGAAAGAAATGGAGTCAACATTAACGGTGACAAACTTAACCATTTACGTTCCGCAGATGTTCTGTTTTTCGAGAACCCAGATAATTTGGAAGACATGCTATAACAACTACCAGATGAAAACGAAAAGATAAGCCAAGCCTATGCAAGCAAGCGAAAGAACACATCGAAAACGGAGGTAATGACAAACTCAACCACTATAGATAAAAATCATTAAAGTAAATGGTGGACGAATAGAGTATGTCAATGTATACGTATTATGTGTTATGGGTCAACTAATATCTACAAAATACACAATGTAAAAAGAAATATGTAGAAGGTTTGCGAATAGTTGGAAACTGTTTTGGTCCCTGAGCGAGGTAATGAAGGTCAAAGACATGCCTGTCAAAGAAAAAATGAAAATATATAACACGTGTGAAGGATATACATGTTTATCGCATAGATGTCAAACATGGGCACTAACAGAGCATCAACTCAAAAAAAATCTAAGTATGTTTGAACAGAATCGAAAGGAGTGTAATTAGAGTTAAAAGAAGATACAAGGTGAGATTGCAAAAGATAAAGAGCAAAACTAAATTTAAAAACATACATACCATCTACAAACGTCCCAATTAGAGATGGACAGGGCACATACAAAGAAAAGGAATGGAAAAGTGGACGAGACTAGTAACGGTATGACACCCGCGAGATAGTAAAATAAACAAACTAAACGTTGGGAAGACGACATGAAAAAGATAGCTGGTCCGCACTCCCACACACACCCACCGCAAGATGGGTACGCACTGTAAAAGACAGTAGGAGATGGAAAACTTTAGAGGAGGTTTTCTCGAAGGACAAGCTCAAAAAGAAAAACCGATTTGCCGAAGCAAATAGTTACAAGTGGTCAAATTAAAAATTTTGTACAACCGATCAATATAAATAAAATGAGAACACATCAGTGTACTCGAAATCAATCAAATACGCATTATTCACGCAATATAAACGCAATTACACAACTCAAAAACTTCTGGTCAGATCTTGATCAAATTTATATGGGACCATACGAAAAGCACCAGCTTTCAAATAAAAACCAATCATCAAAATCGGTTCACCCAGAAAAAGATTCTGAGGTAACAAACATAAAAACATACAGTCGAATTGAGTACCTCCTCCGTTTTGAAGTCGGTTGAAAAGTTCAAATTGTCAAATAGAATAATTTTACTAAATACTAAATAAATTTTATTTATGGTCCAAGGTGCAATTTCCTTGAATATGAGGAAATCGTTTCTCTATGCACAATATGATAGTCGAACAGGACAACGTGCACATAAATCAAGATCTGACCTAGAAACTTATCGTATTATCGAGCAGTATTTTTGAGTTACACGTTTTGTAATCATGTGTGGTTGCGGTGTCAGTGAATTCATCTCCGCATTTCGCCCCGTGGATGTTGTAACTTGTGAAAATGGGAAATTGTGGAAAGGTCTTCCCCTCAGTCCCTTACAATTCTAATGCATTCACATGCGCCTGCCAAATCCCGAGCGGTCGTATGCGACGGCACACACCCGCAGCACTTAAAACCATTAAAACTTATATTTGGAGACTACTTTTCTATGAAGAAGTTTGGCATTATAAAATCTATAGAAAATTTTCTATATAAAAGTCAGGTGTTAGATCATTACAAAAAGACTATCGTATTTTGTTAACAAAAACAAACAAAAGCGAATGTCGGCAGCGTGAATATCACAATTATTTCAATATATACTTGAAATTATTTACGTAAAAAGATAAATTATATTCACACAAAAACTTTCATTACAATTTTATAATAAAACACTCTACTAAAACGCAAATAAAACACTAGAAACATCCAAAAATCAACACTATAACATTCACGGGAAAATGGCGTATGAAATGAACGTAGATTATAAATAAATATCCATAGCTTAACTATTTTATGTTGCACTAGAGGATAGAGAATTTCACATTGATTATATAATGCCAAACTTCTTCATAGAAAAGTAGTCTCTAAATATAAGTTTTAATGGCTTAAAGTGCTGTGGGTGTGCGCGGTCGAATTCGACTGCTTGAATTTTGACGGAATAGCGTTGAGGTCGAATTCGACCGCTTAGGGGCTGAAGGGTTAAGCTTCAGTCCGATGGTTAAGTTAGTAGAATAAAATATTACGTTAGTTAAATCGATATGGACTGTATTTATAATGTATTATTGTTTAGAATGCTATATGATGTTAACATTAATTACAATTTAACTTTAAATGCAATTTTTTTTATATAGAGGCCAAAAATAAGCCGGATCAAATAACCGATGTCTCTTTTGATATTCAGATAAACAGTTTTGACGGCGCATTGGCCTCTGCCCGTAAGCAAGCGGTCACGGCCACGTCAGGAGTAGAGGAGGTCAAGACTTTGCTCCATCAACTGGAACAGAGGACCAACGAGACCGTAGCGAATGTAACTAGCAACGCAAAGACGGAGGACAACCTAAAGGAGCAGATCGCTGCGCTAAATGTCACGCTTATCGGCAAAGTAAACGCGTTACAGACAAGGATAGAGGAAATGAATGTAAGGCTACTCAATTGTACTTTTATTATGTGTACTTATATTATTCTATAAATCTATTCACTTACCTTATTATAGTTGAACAAAAGCTTGAATATATTGTTAAAATTCTTTATTTCTGAATGTATCCTTACTTGAGCCATGCTGTAGCTATATTATGGTTGTAGCACGAATGGGTTGGCTCGACTGGGGAAGGACCACGCTCTCACAGATTACCAGCGTAAAATAGCTGTTCAATACTGCTCTGTTTTCGTATGGTGAGTGTAGAGAACCGGAGACCCCTTTTACTGGAAACGAGGCATTCCATCTTAGTCCTCAGGAGTGCAACGCCAAATGCCAAATGTCTGTGGGTCACAGCAACCATTTACCATCAGGTGGACTTTGTGTTCGTTTGTCGTTTTAATTCTTTAAAAAAAATCCTTTATTTACAAAAACTGCTATAAGATTTGGTCCATTAAAGAATTCCTTTTAAAAACAAATCTTAAACCGGTCTTGAAATATTTATGTCCATTTATAACTATAGTAATAGGATTATAGCCTGACGTTCGCCTTCAATTTGATCGCATTTGGTTATATAATGATTATTTATATCGATGTTTATGTGAATAGTACATAGTTAATAAGTCATCTTTAATCGTCCAAACGTCGCAACTTTGGATTAAAATTAATAATAAGTTAGAACAAACGCGATACTATCCAAAAATTTAGTTTGTACTTTGTATAAGTAGGTACTTAGCTTTTTCTGCGGAATTCCCAACAAAACTATTGAAATGACAGAGTATTAATAATAGTTTACAGCCGGCAGTTAAATTATATTTCTTTTTCTTTCAGAAGCCTGTAAGTACACTTGCCCCAGTAAACGTGACACCGTCCTCTAGTACCACATCGAGCACCACATCCTCATCCACGAGCACCACTACACAGACCCCAGGTAAGCACTATAGTTTAAAAAACTATGATCTCTCAATTCTGCTCACAATCATACCGTAATAGTTATGTCAGTTGAATCTTTATTACAAGGAGTAGCATCTTATATGGCACCTCAAACTCAACTGTTCGCAGTGTCCCATTCAAGATGGTTCAGACCGATGTTGTAGTGACTGATAATGACGGCAAATCTGTATAAAACTGAAACGAAATTTCAGAGACTGGTGATATAGAGTAGCTTTTACGTAGTAGCTATTATTTTTTACAGACTTCAAAAAAGGAGGAGGTACTTAATTCGACTGTATTTATGTTTGTTACCTTATAACTTTTCTCTAGGTGAACCGATCTCGATGATTTTTTTTATTTTGAAGCTGATACTTATCATGTTGCATGAAACGTTTTTGCTTATTATCAGGAAAAAAGATCCAAATAAAAATGTAGCCATTTAAGAAATTATTCAATACCTTTTCAAACCCTTTAACATTATCGAATAATATTATATGGTTATCATTTAAAATACGAGAGCACGTCAAAGAGTTTTTTCCGGCGATAATTTTTTTGTCTCGATTACAATAAAGTACTTTAAGAATCCATTCGATTGAGAATTCAATTGAGTATTTAATATATGTTTCGAGCGTCAAAATCGTATCTAAAATACGATATTTTTGTTCAACCTGGCCTTAATGACATTTGTATGTAATATAATCTTTAACGACATAGCACATAACTCGCACAGATATTTCATCTAAGAAACTATCATGGGATAACAACTTCATGATTTTCTTAAGTTTTTTTATGGATTACATTTTTTATGGACACACCTGAATCGCACAAAACATTACCGTTTTTTATCATGGTAATTTTTAACATGACCTTCATTGTTGGGATACGATGACGAACGTACGTAATAAGCACGTAAAATACCACAATTAAGCAATATGTACTTAACTTGGGTTCTGTATCTGCGCTCATCAACTTGACTACCTACATATACATAGCGTTGTGACGATAGACAAAATTAATGGTAAAAGAAACACATACCAGCTAGCGTTTGTTTTTTGTGTTTTCCGGATGACGCAGTTATAGTTCATAAAAGATAGCTTGATCTCTGCGACAGCTGTCAGTAAAATCACGCCTATGAAGTCCTGAATTTCTTCCGACTTAGGTCGGCATGGCCCATAAAGTATGACATTGACAGGTACTGTCTGTACTACTAAGAAATTCAGGACTTCATAGGCGTGATTTTACTGACAGCTGTCGCAAAGATCGAGCTATCTTTTGTGAACTATAAACAATTTCGTATATAAAAGTAATAATAAAAAAAATTGAGACGTGTAGTCCGCCTACAAGCGTTGGGGCTGTGCGGTGAACGCTTTGTTACCTTAAGACCCTCCCAGAAATGAGAGAAGGCCTGTGTCCAAGAGTGGAACGTATATAGACTGTAACTTTTATAAAAGTAAGTCCTAACGTTTATAGGTTGCTGCTAGGTACAGGCTTTCTCTCATGTCGAAAATAATTATGGAGCAATTCGTCCGTTCAATGAATGTAGGCAGATACACATGCCCTCGAAACACTTTATTCCTCAGGTATGAAGGTTTCCTCGTGATTTTTTCCTTTACCACCGAACACATGGTACTACATGGTACTTAAAATTCATTAAATAATTTTTCATTGGTGCCTTGTGGATCGAACTCGAATTGATCGCGTTATGTGAAATTTAAGCATTTGTCGTATATTTCACAGTTCTCAAGCAACGAGCTACTACAATTTATTATGTTAAACGCAAAATACGCACATCCAATCCACTATGCAAGAAGCCCGTATCCTGCACTGGACTATTTTACGGGCTCTTGAGGTTGAAGTGACAAGTTCATCATACTCATTTTAGAAATATTGAGACTCATAATGGAAGATTTGTTTTCGTACGAACAAGCGTAATTTTCATATGAACATAAAATTCATTAACATTTGCATAGAAGATGACGTACTCGTAATTATAACAAATTTATTTTTACCTAACGCATTGTATTCATTCAATCTCTCACAGTGTTAATTTTCAGAGTAGCACAAAACATTTGAATGGAACATTTTATATATCATTACACAAAGTGCTTTTACCCTGTGATTAATTGAAAGAGTATGTTGATTTTATTATATATATATATATATATATATATATATATATATATAAAAATCCTCTAATCAGTTTCATTAGAAAGGCGATAATGCGAAGATGGTTTGAGACCACTAAAACAATGCATGAGGCACTGACTATATTAAAAAAAACTTATTAAAATATTATATAAGTTAGTTATTAAAATATAAATTGATCGATAATTTTGACAAGAAAAATGAATACATTTGTAAGCCTCTACTAAGTTGTTACTATATTAAAATATTTTCATATATTCTCCCCAAACTAAGTAGTTAAGATAAAAGTTTTATGTTGACTATTTAGTCCGTCATTTGGTGTTACGATCAAGGGTGAATCGGGACGTGTCACAATTTAGAGCCCTGAAACTCGGGACCCCTGGCAACGCTAATTGTAGCTGTCCCGATTTGAAAACCAAATTCCCCGATTTTTTTTACGAATTTAAGAATTTTCCTTTCCTTCTTTTAATATTCTTCAGCACGTAAAAATCCGCTGGACTTTGCTCTATCTCATTAGGCGTACATTACACGCTCATGCAGGCTGTCAGTTTTACAACAATCACCGTTGTGATTGACGAATAACCTACCGTGTAATGCGGTGATTGACGTCTGCATGAGCGCGTAATGTACGCCTATCAGTCACCATACGTTTTTTGTCAATCATGATTGATGGAATTGATTGACGCCTGCATGTGCGTGTAATGTACGCCTTAGACTCGTAGGGAGGATGTTCTTGGTAGGCGAATTAACGATCGCAGTAGCAGGCGTTTCGCATCTTTGTTGATGCTTCCCGTTGATTGAAGAATAAAATAATAATTTTCCACTTTTATATTTTTTTATAGGATAGGGTGACAAACGAGCACCCAGTCCACCTGATGGTAAGTGATTGTTGTGGCCCATAGACATCTATAATTATCCTCGATTACAAATCAAAATGCAGATGCGTTTTTAACCGAGACGACTAAGATGGGATGCCTCGTTTCCAGCAAAAAGGGTCTCCGGTTCTCTACACTCACCATACGAAACACAGCAGCGTTAAGCTACTATTTTACGCCGGTATTCTGTGAGAGCGTGGTCCTTCCCCGGTCGAGCCGACCCATTCGTGCTGCAACTATACTCCTAATAAAGCTGCAGCATGACTCTACCACATAAATTTGTATATTTACATTTAAGTTCAACATGAAGTTCAGTTCTTGTAGTAAAACTTTGGAGTTCTTTCCCTCATTCGAATTTAACTTACTCAACTCTTTACATTTCTTCAAGAAACAGCACCAGACCATAAACGAAAAGAGGAAAAGAACTTCTCTCTTCCTCTTTTCGTTTATGGTCACTGATCTATTGTTTAAAATATGTTGTCTTTTCAGTGCATAAGTTGATGTTCTTAGTTATAATAGTGCACCCTATCCGTAATGTATGTTAATGTTTCTCCTCTTCCTATGTTTTTGGGTTGTCTTCTTCGGCTCCGCGGCACAGTGGCTTCGCAATCAGTTGCAGCACTATGGGCCGCGGGTTCGAATCCCGCGCGGAACGATGGCGGAATATTTGTCGTCGTGACATTTATGCATATAACCTGGGGCAGGGCAGGGGCACGATAAAAATATAGATATAGAAAAAAATACTAGTGTAGGTATGGGTAACGTTGTTTATTTAATTAATTGAAAAATTAAATGATATATCTGGAAGAGATTCCTATATAGCAAATATGTTGTAATTACATAGCTAAGATCCGTTTTAAAAACTAGAAGAGCTCTTTAATATAATAAGAAAGATCTTTTATGTAATTATTTACAAAGAAAATTTTTGTTAATAAAACGTGTTTATCAAAATTTACTGCAGAAAGGAATCATATTCTCGAAATCTTCAGAAAGACTCTGCTACAAAAGTGAAAGAAAATAGTCCCCGTAAATCACAGATCAAAATAAATTTATTTTCAATTTAATATTCTTGTTCGATTAAATATACAATTTTAAATTTGGAAGAATTATATTGTTTTATTAAGAACCCGCATCCGGCAACTGGGCTTTCCTTAGGTTTCTTGCGATAATAGACCACCATGTCATTGGCGGGCGTCCTCTGCTTCTCTTTGTTTCTGATGAGCTTAGAGCTATTTGAACTGCATGGTCTTCGCTGCGTCTTTTAATATGTCCATACCATCTTAGGCGATTTTCAATGATTTTATCCGTAATAGGTGCGACTTTAAAGCTGCCACGTATATGTTCATTACGGGCTTTGTCAAGCCGAGTCACACCTCTTTTCGTTTTCGTTAGTATGGACCTTTTGCTCATGCGTCTTTTTTGTTATCCAACATTCAGAACCGTACAATAGCACGAGACGTACTGCGGTTTTATACACTTTGCCCTTAGTTTTTATGGGAATACGTGGATCACACAATACCCCTATAAGTGATCGCTATTTCAGCCACGCGGCACGGTTATGACGGGGTAGTTAATTATTGATAATAATTTTTAATTGTAACAACAAATACCTCTTATTTTGTTTACGCACTTTAAGATAATTGATAGAATCAGGCGTTACTTTGCGGAAATCCATTATAATAAATAATTTATTACTTTGCAACCTTCCGCTAACTAATTACAATGATGTGTCTTACCTGGATTGAAGAGCACCTCCCGCCCTCCCTCAATTGCATGCACTAACTCCGTCACCACTAGTCCCAGCACCACTACTCCCAACACCACTAGTCCCGACACCACTACTTCCAACACCACTATTCCAGGTAAGACACACCATCGACGACAATACGACACGTGTTTCGCCTCTACACGAGGTATCTTCAGGTAATGTAGACTCTACGGCGACTGACCGCTAAGTGCAACACTTACTTTCACTTTA